CTGCGCCGGCTGTACCCACCCTGCGCATGACCTGGAGGAAGGGCGGTCCTAACCTTTGTTTCGCCGCTCCCGGGCCCCTGGAGCTCGAAAACGGGCTCTGAGCCCTGTGACCCTCAAAACAAGACCGGGGATGGAAAGCTGGGCACTGGCCTGGCTAGGACCCGTGCCCCTCACGACCAAAGAAATACACGGCGGCAGCACAACCGAAAACCGGCCGAACCCTCAGCGAAACCGAGTCCGACCGACAACGACAGGTCGCAAGCATCGTAGAAGGGCGCAGCGACGCAGCAACGACGCAACATCAACAACAAAAACGACCCGATCGAAAACAACCGAGTGCGACGCAGCCAGACCAACCAAACCGCTGACCCCCAGGAAGACCCACTTCAGACGACCTCCGCGGGTCGAATTTAAGAAACAGTGGCGGGCTCGAGATGCGGATTTTCAAAGATGTCTGCGAGCGAATTATTACCTGCATTCGTGTCTGATGCCCCGGTGCGGATTGAAACTACGCGCGTAGGGCTCACAACCCTGACCCTCCAGGTTGGCTAACACGGACAGTCAACCATATAGTAAGGACGCGCGGTAAGGATGCAAGAGCCTTGACAGGCCATGTCGACGTTTCTCCTGTGGGGCTGGCCGGCGAGAGTCGCCAAGGATGGGCCCAAGGGGGAGGATGCAATGATAACCTTGGAAAGTTGCCCGTCCTTCCTTTGCGGGTTGACTGTAGGGCCAGGACTTCTTAATTCACACCCCCAACGAGGCTCTAGAAGTACTAGACGATCCGAATCAGGTCCAGAGGACTGCTATGTTCAGCACGCTGCAGGGGTCAGGGGAATGGTCGCAGGCCCACCGAACCCCTCAGCACCCGAAGCGACGAACTAGAGCAGATAACCGAGCGTTCCCGATGATAATCCTCTGGGGATAATGCGGTTCGGGGGTCTGGCGGGGATAATCAACGATTTTCCTGTGGAAGGTGATGCTATGATGATGATGGCGATGACGATGACGATGATGATGATGATGCTGATGATGATGATGATGATGATCCTGGACGCTCGTGTAGACTGACCTTGTAGATTTTGACACAAGACTGAGTCGAGAGATCTCGAGGCTCGTGGATATAACTTGCCTGCGCAAGAGAGGCCCTTGGCGCTCGTGACCAAGAAACCTCTCTTGCGCATGGCCCTGCCACGCGCTCGTGGCTCGGGAACGGCTGAGAAAAAGAGAATTCCATGGCCCTGCTTCACTTTCGTGACTTGGAAAACTGATGGTGAGAATCCCATAGCCCTGCCACACGCTCGTGATTGCGGAAACAGAAATGGTGAGACCACCATTGTCATGCTCAGCGTTTTTGATGCTGTTGCTAGTCAACATGACATGATAGCACTTTCGATTCGCAACTCCCCCCAGGGATTATCAAGTTCGGCCTCCGCGCCTTCTCCAGAATTAAATCCGATCGACACGGGATAAACATAGAAGGGGGAAAGTGGGTGTATGATTTATTGTGGGGGGCAGGGGGTTATGCGCACAGACAAGCCGATGACTGTGGAACATAGCTCCGGTTCACACTTGTCGGGTGTTGCTAGAAGTGCCCCTGGCCCAAGATGCCCCCAGTCCAGGGTGCTCCCAAGGAACAAAAAAACAACATGAACATAAGTTTTGGAGCTCCGTGCGCATTTCTTGGATCGGCTCTTGAGCCCCCTGGCGGCGCATCCGGCGCCGCCCCGGGCGCGCTCCGCGCGCCACGGAGGGAGGTCCAGCGCCGATCTAAGAACTCCGCCTGTAGCTTCCGAAAGGTTGCCTGTGTCGATCCTTCTTCGTCTTCGAGTGGCTGCGGCTCACACTTGGGATGGGGACGATACAGCGTTCCGCAGAAGGCTTGAGACACAGAGCTCAGGCTTCGGGTCGCCGGGGAGCGTCACCTGTGTCGATCTCTGTGCGGCCGCCCATGGGCACGCGATTCGGACAGGCACTGCTGCAGCTCGGCCGGGGAGAAGTGCACACCGGTCCTGGGCCCAGGCTCGGCACGGCCAGTGGCGGTCACGGTGTTCGGTGGCTGTTGTGGCTAACCCAGCCCAGGATCGGTGTCGCTTCCTCCTCCTCTTCCTCCTCCTCCTCCTCCTCCTCCTCGTCCTCGTCCTCATCCTCCTCCTTTACCTCCTCCTCCTCCTCCTCCTCCTCCTCCTCCTCCTCCTCCTCCTCCTCCTCCTCCGTCCGATTCCTCCTCCATCCTCCCCCCTTGGGGGTAAGACGGCTTCCCCAGCCCTGTCTTCCATTACAGGCTCCTCCACATCCCTGATCAGGGCAACTCGCCTGGGCATCGTTTCTGGATGGGCCGGTCGGATTTTTTGGCCGCGGCCGCAAGCGAAGGCGCAGGCGGCGTCAAGGGTCGACCCGGGCTACGGGCGGAACCTAATTATCCAGCGGGCGCACTCACGGCTGCCAAAGCTGCCGCCGAAGGACGCTGAGCGGCGCCGGGGGCTGAAGGCAGGCTGCAGGAGCTGCCAGGTGTGCCAGGCGGCTGAAGTGCAGCCATCCCAGAGGCGAGACCACCGGGAAGACGAACGAATTGTACCCTGTCGCGCCAGGCGCCAAAGGTAGTCATGCCACCGAACGTGGCAAAGCGCGGGGCTGCGCAAGCAGTCCGGCGTGCCAGTGCCGCATGCCAACAATGACAACCTCAGATGGCTGAACAAGAAAAGCCGGTGGGATTACGCGAAGCGTCCAGAATACGGTAGCTTTGTGTGGCGTCGGCGCGCGCAAGGGTTTTGGGCACCGAGTCGATCGTTCCATCTTGAATCGATCACGGCCTCACTCGTTCAAGGTTGAGTTCAGTCGGGTCCAGCGGTGTTACCGGGTCCATCGGTGCTTCCAACTCGCAGAGTTTATACAACCTTGAACGCCTTCGCCAGCGTCGCAAGCGCGCCAACGCCGCATAAACCTACCGCATGGTTGAGTTGAGTGGCTGAACTGGTGTTCCATTGGTGCGGTTGAGTTGGACCGGCGCGACCAGATCCCCTGCCGAGGATCGGTGAGGGTGGTCGGCTCACGCCCCCCTGAGTGAGAGAACCGACTGCGTGTGGATCACGCCTACTTGCCTAGGCGTGGAACGGCCCAAGGGTACAGGTCAGAAGGTCCCTCTTCCAGAAGAGCGGGCCAGCTCTCAAACAAGATCAGGCCTGGGGCAAAACGCTGGGTCGACCTAGTGCGGACAGCATCGCGAGTATGCGGGGGTGGGGAGGGGCAAAACCTGGGAGAACACCCTAGAAATTTGGCGCGTCCTCTAAGATCGTGTCTCCTCTAGTTGTGACGTGTCGTGTCTTTCTTGCCTGTTCTTGTGCAACAACTTGTCCTGAGAACGTCTGCGGATCCCGAATCGGTCGGGAAACGTGGCCTCACTACTCGCACCAGCTTGCAAAATATTAGCATAAGCATCGCATCCACATTCTCGTTCGCATTGGATTTAACTGTACTCCCAGTGCCTCAATAGTTCTGGGCCCCCGGATTACAGGGGCCCCCCGGAGAACAAGAGCCACCCCCCCGGAATACAAGCTTCCCCCCCGCCCCCCTGGACTGCAGGACCCCCCCCGTCCACAAGCCCCCCCCCCCCCCCCCCCCCGGACTACAAGGCCCCCCCCCCCACAGACTACACCCCCCCCCCAGACTACAAGAACCCATCCCCAGACTACAAGGACCCCCCGCTCAGCATAGCAGGTGCTACGGGATGCCAGTGACGCATGATGGGGCCTTCGTCTCGGAGAAAGGCTCCTCGCACGCGCGCGCGCGCTGCCAGCGGAATCGCCGCGTTGCTTGCCGACGGGATTGCGCGCGCAGGCTCCTGCAAAGTGCATTGTCTGCGTTGTGCGCGATCTACAAGGGTCCCCCTGGACTTCAAGGGCCCCCCCCCCCCGGACTACAAGGGCCACCTGGAACTCCACCCCGGACTAGAGGACCCCCTCCCCGGACTACAGGGCCCCCCCTGGACGACACCCCAAAACTTTTGAGGTACTCAGAATAGTGTTCGCGTTGGTAAGCATGCGAGTAGTAGCATTGGTAAACGTATCAGTGCTAGTCAGGGCAAACCCTTGTCTCAATGTGTGAACTGTTTGCGCGAGTAGTCTGCTTACGAACGCGTAGTCTTACTAGTCGAAAAAGGTCGTCGTATCAGTGAAGTCGTAGTAGCTCTAATAGCAGTGGTAATCGTGGTAGTTGGAGCCGTAGTCGTAGTCGCAATAAGGGCACCCTGTGGAAAGCCGCTTCAGGTCTTCTGCCGCGATGGCGTCATTCTGTTCAGTTCGCTGGGCTCGGCGCTGCTGGAGCAGCGCGTCGGAAGCGCCGTCCCCCCCCCACGGGTCGGGGGCCCCGCCCCTGGGGACAAAGGCGTCCGCGAGCGGGCAGAGAAGATCGGGGCAGGGGCGGCCGCGGGGGGGGGGGGGGGGGGCGCCCTGGGGGGCTCGGGACGAGGGGGGCCGGGAGTGCGGATGGCCAGGATCTCCTCCTCCTCCTCCTCCTCCTCCTCCTCGTCCTCCTTCTCCTCCTATCCCTCATCCTTCATTTTACTCCCTTCTCCTCCTCCTCCTCCTCCTCCTCCTCCTCCTCATCCTCATCCTCATCCTCATCCTCATCCTCCTCCTCCTCCTCCTCCTCCTCCTCCTCCTCCTCATCATCATCATCATCATCATCATCATCCTCCTCATCCCTGCTTCTTCTTCTCCTCCTCCTCCTCCTCCTTGACAGTCCAGGGGTCACGGTGCTGTTTGTGAATCACCCTCCTGGAAAGTCGGGGCAGGGCGCGGGTCCTGGGCGGTGTGCGCATCGAGCGCTCGCGCGCGCGCGCGCGAAGAGCTTCTCTTTGAAAAGGCGCCAGGGCCCAGATGGGCAACGGGCGCGAAAGGCCTGGCGAAGGCCGCGCGTATCTGTCCGGGACCTCCCTCCCTCGCCTCCTCCCTCCCTCCGCGGTGCCGCGCAACGGCTCGTGCAGAAAGCCCCGAAAGGCCTCACCGCCCGGCCATCTGCGCCTGCATCTGCGCGTACTGCTTCATGAGCTCCTCATCCGACGGGCCGCCAGTTTTGCTCGCTATCTTGTCCAGGCCCAGCTCGAAGTACGTGGCGACGCCCAGAACAAGCACGATCACGATGACCAGCAGGTACGGGTTCCCAAAGCCCGCCGAGATCGGCGTGTTCTCGTCCCCCATGGACAGGGCCTCCTCGCGCAGTCGATTCTTCATGTTCTGCGTGAGCTGTTCCTTCCTCTTGGGCGGTGCCGCCTGGGGCGGCCGGGGGGGGGGATGTCACCACGGGCAGCGCATCCTTTGAGGACGAGCGCCCCGTGGGCCTGCCACGATTCTGACGGGCCTCCTCCTCCTCCTCCTCCTCCCTTCCTCCTCCTCCTCCTCCTCCTCCTCCTCCTCCTCCTCCTCCTCCTCCTCCTCCTCCCTTTCTCCTTCTCCTCCTCAGGCGATAGCTCATACTCGAATCGATCAATCAGATCGGCGATCGGCGGGAAACGGCGGCCAAGTCGGGAGAAACATAATCGGCGGACATCGGCAGGCCGGTGAGGCCTCCGCTGAGAAAAATCGGAATCCTCATCGGAAGCCGAGGTCGAATCGGAATCGGAATCGGCATCGGCATCGGCATCGACCGAAGTCGAAGTGCACCCAGCCGGAAGAGTCGATACGAGCCCGAACCTCGCTGAACCCGTCCGTCTCCGCCGCGGCGAGGGCGACCCTTGCGTACCTGCTGTTGGAGGCGGCCGCTGGGCGCCCGCTCAGGAACGCCTCGCCGAGCGGCTCGCGGAGGCGGCCGAGGCAGCCGAGGCACAGCGCCAGGGCCGAGGCAGCCAGGGCCCTCTGCCGTCGCGCGGCGGCACGGCGCGGGGACATGGGGCCTGGAGGCCAGACGCCTCCCAGGTGGGGCCCGAGTGCAGTTAGCCCGTATGAGGTAAGGACCCACGAGAAGTATGCAAGGGCATTGGAAGGCCGTGCCGACACTCTGCGAGCGGGGTGCGGCCAGCGAAAGCGTTCAACGATGGGCCGAAAGTGCGATGCGATGCGATGCGACCACCGTTGCGGACAGCGCCCGGGCCTACTCAAAACCGGGTGGGCCCGTGGCCTCGGGAATCTGGCGTGTCTGGACAACATGCAATGCGAGACAAATGCGCAACAAATTAGGAGAAGGAACGGAGGGAGGTTGGGATGGTCCTTGGGCTCGGTCGTGTCAGCCTGTGTGGGAAGAAAGGAAGGGGGGAGGAAGAGGAGGAACTCCTTGGTGTCGACGATGGGCCGAAGGGGAGGGATGCAAGGGTAAGCTTGGAATGTTGCTCGCCCTTGCTATCCGCCACCGTGCCGCTGGGCACGGAGTGGGCGTGTCCTCAAGTCCTTCCCCTACCCCTCCGAGCCTCAGTCGTCACTCCTGACGACTTCTTAATGGCCTGGGCCCCAAATTCTCAAATCTTCTTGGGCTTCCCGTGGTTCCCTTGGGGTTTGCCGCGTCTTGTCGCGCCGCCGTCGCTACGACGGTCCAAGAGGGCCAAGAGGGCTCCCAGAGGCCGCTACGACGATCCAAGAGGGCCCTGAGTCGCCGAACGATCGCTCCAAGACGCTCAAGATGGCCCTCAGACGGCCCACGAGGCCTCCAAGACTCCGAAAGAGGCCTCCAAGAGGCCTACCAAGAGGGCCCCAAGAGGCCGAAACCATTAATGACCCTTAGATTTTTGCCGGATTTGAGCGTTCTCGCCTTTTCGGCTTCCCGACGAGCCCAGACGGGCCTACAGTCCCCCAAGACCGCCCCAAGATGGTCCAGGGGGTCTCCAAGATGTCCCCAAACCAAACCAAGAGGCTCCAAGACAGCTCAAGAGGCGCCCAACACGGCCCAAGACGGCCCCAAAAGGGGCCCGAAAGAGGGAGCATGAACCGAAACTCCGTCCCAAGAGGCGCCCAGGAGGACCCAAGAGGCCCCTGAGAGACCCCCAAGAGGCCCCCAAGAAGCGCAAGAGGCTCCCAAACGGCCCCCAAGAGGCGTCTACACTGCATCCAAGGAGGCCCCCTCTAAGGATAAGCCTCCCTCGAGATCCCAACATCCTCACAACCCAGGCGCGGTGGCGGGATGGGCCGAAGGCCATTCGATACGGGTGAACCGTAGATGGGGTCGGAGGATCGCACCGCATCGCCGATGTATCGGCGACGCATCTACGATGCATCGGCGGCGCCGGTGACACATCGGCGCCGTCGGCGTGAAGAACATCGGGCTCCACAGCGGCGACGCGGTGCAATCTTCTAACCCCCATCTACTCCGACCCCATGTGGGAGGCCGAGATCGGGGCCTGGAGGCGCGCCGGGCGCTCGCGGGCGGCGGCGAAAGCGGATGCCAGCGCTCGGACCAAAGTGGCTGCGGCCCTGTCTGGTCTGGTCCCGTCTGGGGCCATCTTGGCGGCGTCTTGGGTCGCCTTGGAGTCCGCGCAACCCTGGCTTCGTGGAGGGGTCCGCCGAAGTCTATCGCCTGCCCACACCTTCGAGAGCGACCAGGGCATCCAAGATGGCCCACTCTTGCCCAAATGTGGCCCCATAAGATGGCTTCCAAGGTGGCAAAGGAAAGTCTAAGATGGCTTAGGATGGCCTGCAGCATGCCTCAAAGAGGCTGCGAATACCACCAAAATGCGGCGCCTGAAGGCCGCGAAGCCTACCGAGGATGCCCCCGAGATGTCAACCTCCTTCAAAAACCCGTTCAAGCTTCAACTGTTCCTGCGTTCTACCCTTCTCACTTCCGCTCGGCATCCGAGGCACCCAAAATGGCTCCACAATCGCGCCAAGAGTCGGCGGCCAGCCCGGGGAGCAAGTGGGGGCCTTCTCAGAAGGCTCGAAAACCCCAGCCTTCTGAGAAGTTTCCGAAGCCTTCCTCGAAGACGCAGCAAACTTCTCAGAAGGCCGGGTCGCTTCTGAGAACTCACGCCGCCTTCTGAGAAGGCCTTCTCCTTCTCGCCTCCCCCCCCCTCCCCCTCGCTCGCCGCCGACAAGAGAGCCCCGAGCGTGGGCCCAAACAGGGGCCCCAAGAGGGGCCCTCAAGGACCCCCCAGGGAGTGCCCCGAGAGCGACGCAGGGAGGGCCCCGGGAGGGGAGCTTCGGGCTCCGACGGGGCGAGGCCGCCACTTTTTGTCATGGAGGACCATTGTGACACAGCCAATCCGCATCACGAGGACGCACGAGAAGGATGCGAGGGCCTTGGCAGGCCATGTCGAGCTTTGCGAGGGGGGGGGCAGCCAAAGCGGCCAAGGATGGGCCGAAGGGGAAGGCTGCCAGGGTGGGTAACCTTGGATAGTTGCCCGTCCTTGCTATGCGGGCTGACTGTAAAGTGTCTGAGGATTCTTGGCATCTGGGGGCGCCTCCGCGGGGGCTTCGGGGCTAAGGTGTCTCGAATACTACCCCGATGAGCTAAGACGGCATCCGAGTTGGCTCAAGATGGTCTCCAGCATGCCTCGAGGAGGGCCCGAGGCAATACCAAGACATCCCCGAGTGGCCACGGAACATCCGAAGGGCATCTCCGAGAGACCAATATTTGTTAAGCACATACAACTTTCGATGAGTGTTGCCTTCTCGCCTCTTCGCGTCCGATGGGCTTCTCCCGACAACGTCCCGAGACGACCCCCAGAGAGCCCAAACATGGCCCCAATACGGCCCCAAGAAGGCTCCCCAAGTTCCGCGGAGGCCTTTATGGTTGCCTTCTGTCGTCGTCGCCGCGTTTTGCTTCCCCCATTCACCTCCTCTTCTCACCACCTCCTCCTCCCCACTAGAGTTCACAAGAAGATGAGTGGGAACATGTTCCTTCAAATCCGCCGTGCTCGCCCAACTCTTCCTCCTCTCGCTGCTCCTCCTCACAACTCCTCTCCCTCTCCCGCCTCCTCCCTCTTGTCACCCCTCCTCCTCGGTTTGACGGCTGCCCCCTTGGCTTGATCAACTGCATGCCCATACAATTCCTTGATCAAGGCAACTTGCCAGGGCATCGTTTCTGGATGGCCTGGTCGGAGTACGCGAGACGACACGAGTTCGAGACCACAGCTGCCGACCCATTGACAGACCTGCGTGCTGGCGTCCCCGTGCGGGCCCGCCGTTGCTCCCGCCCTGCGAGCTCAACTCAAGGCCAGCGCTTTAGACCCCATCTTTCTGCCAGATTCTTCAGGCCGAATCCACCAAGGAGTCCCAGCGCCCGTATAAAGCCAAACCAGCCAGTCTCTATTTCTTCCCAGCTCACGTGCCGGAATTGTGTCCCCGATTTCTGAACCTTCTCCCTTCCGCCTCCGACTCGGGTTTGGGGGACCCGGGGTGACCCGACGGGGCCGTCAGGAAAACGACGAGACTAACTCTGAAGTTTGACGCAGGCTTCCGCTGCAGACTTCCCACGACAACTAGACCGTCAAAATCCAGGGCGGGATCGTCAAAAAGCGTAGGCGAACTCAAATTCCCGCGTATTCGACTCTTACGTTTCCCCGATCCTCCTCCCTCCCGCTTCCCCCTCTTCTCACCTTTCTGCTCTCCCAGAAATCCCGTGAAGGTATAGAACCTCGTTTTCTCTCCTCGCTGCGCCGCGCGTTTCTCCTCCCTCCCGCCTCCCGCATGTTCCTCCCCTTCCTCCCCCTTGCCACCCTCCTCCTCTTCCTCCTCCTGCTTATCGTAGCCTTCCTCCTTCTCCTCCTCCTTCTCCTCCTCGCCCTCTCTGATCCTTCGTGTCTCCTCCTCCTACTCCACTTCCTCCTCTTCCAGCTGCTCCTACTCGTCATCCTCCTCCTACTACTCCTCCTACCACTCCTCCTCTGGTACCCCTCCTCCTCCTCCTCCTCCGCGTCATTCCTTCCTTCCTCCTTCCTTTCCACATCCTCTCTCGTCCTCCTCCTCCACCTCCGCTCCCAGCCTCTGCTTTGCGTCCGCCTGTGCATTCTGGCATGGCCCTCACAAGACTGGTGCCCCCATACAGAGCCTCATCTGCGGCCCCACAAGCCGCTCGCGAGCGCGCGTGCTGCCCAAAGTCCCTGTCCGGCACACCTCTCGCACGCTCCGTGGCCCCATAGCGAGCCCGAGCAGGCGCTCGCGCATGCCGCCCCCAGCCATGTCGGCACACCCGTTACACGCATCGTGCCCACGTGCAGAGCACCATCTACGGCCCCAAAGGGCGCGCGCGCAGGCCGCCCCCCTCGCCCTGTCTGGCGCACTCTTCGCACGAATCGTGCCCCCAGAGCGAGCTCCACTCACTGCCCCGGTTGGCAAGCGCGCAGGCCGCCCGCTCGCCCATGCCAACGCACCTCACAAAAGACAAAACAGTTCCCCACCCTGGGCATACAGACAGGGCCGCGAAGACCTCCGAGGTGGCCTCAACAGTGCCCCGAGATGGCCCAGGCAAGCTGCCAAAAAGCCCGGACAAGAAAATTCCACGAAGGCCCTTCTGGTTAACTCCTGGGCCTGCTCGCGCGGCGTCCGATCCTCGGGTTGACGCCTGCCCGTCCCTTTCGTTCCAATGCGTGCTCCCACACTTCCCTGGTCATTGCAAGTCGCCTGGGCGTCGTTGCCGGATAGGCCAGTGGAGGTTTTTTTTTTGGTACGCGGGCCCGCGAAAACGAGTCGAACGCCGTACAAACTAGGGCGGGCCGCGCCGAAGCAAAGGGGAAAACAGCGAAGCGACTGGCGCCCGGCTCAGAGCAGAACTGGGCTCAACGCGGCCAAAACGGCGCGGGAGGCATCGCAAAACATCATCCTAATCACGTCAACCAAATGTGCGATACCAGGTAACGCAGGGCGTGCCCACTGCCGTGCCAAGTAGGGGCGCAGGTTCGGTGTGGGACTGCGCACATTGAGAAGTCAGCAACCAGGGCTCCCCAAGACGCGCTTGCCGAAGAAGG